CTTGCCTTGACACTGAGGCCAACAAGGAAACATCCCAAAGAGAGTACCTTGACAGGGACCTTGGGAATTCTGGCTTCCTCTGGAGACTTGAGCCTGATCTTTTAGGATCAGGTAGGGTATGCTATTATCAATTCCCTGGAACTGCAGGGAACCCAGGGCTTCGCACACCTCTTTGCACAGTAAAAACAAACAGTTGTAATTATTTGATGTCCCTTCCATTTTATATTATGCCTCTCAACAGATCACTTTTAAAAAAGCAAAGTCAATATTTTTGCATGCAATACTTATTGGTAGACTTAATTACCAGCCTAATTAGGACACAAAGGGGATATAAGTGTAGACAGAGTGCATTAAAGGTGGACTACAAAGAACAAATATATTGTGTTTGTGCCCTTATGGTTAAGATTATGAAGGCAACCTGAAAGTTCCCCAACTACCAAGTCATATCCCACCCCCTTTAAAAAAAAAGGGGCATTACAATTTCAGGTCTTGTCTACCCTGAAGACTCTCTGGTGACTGATGACTAGTTAAATGACAACACAAGATTTAAGAGACCAAGCTGAACAATTAAAAGGGTAAGAGATTTTTAATCTAACAGTTTAAGCCTGCATTTTTACTAACTATGCAACTCTTGCACCTAGTACACTTGGGAGAAAGGATGGCTTTGTTGAAGATTCAACACTGACCCTTCAGTTAAAGTATGACACAGACCAGGAGAATGCTCGGACTATAAATCTGAGCATCAACAAGTCCTCCAGCCAAACAAGGAAGGCCACACTTCATATTCCTGATATTTATAAGGTTTTAAAAAGGCAGATTTTTTTTAAAAATTGTCTTTTATGCTGCATTAATAAAAGCAAAAAAGGGTATGAATCCAATTTTACAAAAACTCCTTTTGAGTAAGCTTTCCTCTCATCTAACCTAAACCTACATAGCAATAGTGACCAGTGGATGGGAACAAAGCAGCAGTGAAGAGATGAGAGTTCAATTCTCAAGACTTCTCTGTACATTTAAATGTCATTCAAAGTATGTATTTAAGTTATTAGTTTCAGTGCTGCCCTACTCCACAACATCCTGCATCCACATGCTCAGGAATTCAAAACCACACTGACAAAGAGCTTTCTAGTTACTGCCTGAGGTCACATGAATCAGGAGTAAATCTTTTAAGGAATATCTTTCTTTGATACAGCTCTGGAACACGCCTTGCTTAACGTACCATACACTTTCCCCATGCCTTAGAACAACTAGAACTAGCAATGCAACTACATCCTTGCTGAACAAAGCAAGTAAACACTTAATATACAGACATATGTTAAGTGACACTCTCAGTGCTACTTACCAAGTTCCTTGTATCAGTCTCTTCTGGAGTCAAAGGCTTTGAGGAATCAGAGCGACTAAATGGGATCAATTCAATTTTCTGCATTGAGATCTTCAATTTGTGAATGACCTTCTTTTGACTTATGCTATTGGCCAATTTCTCCCTATCCTCCTCTATATCTTCATTCCCCTTCTTCTGGGGCACACTTGCATGTTTTGATACCTCACTGGCCTTGGCAACTTCCTTTTTATCATCGGAGTGAAACTCTGTATCTCCAGATCGTCTCAGCTGGTCACCCTCTGCTGCAGAACTAGAGAGAAGCTGGGAGGGTTTAAGGCCTGAAGGCAGCTTTTTAGGACCAGAATGGGATTTCTTCCCAGTGGAAAAGAATGCTGCTCCCATCTGGAGCTTCAGCAGGGGTTTCATTTTCATGCTTAGGACTCGGAAAGGAGCCTCCATTTTCTTTTCAATTGGACGAATAATGTTTTCCTTTTCCACAACAGGTTTGACAGGGGCTATATCTACCTTGGCTTTCTTAGAGTTTCTTGGTAAAGTCTTGGTGTGCTTAGAATCAGTCTGACGTTTGGATGTTTTTGAGCTTACATTCCTGATGAGGTTCATATTTCCCTGTACTTTCTCCGTCCTATTGGCACTGGGGAGGTCTCCATCATCGTCCCTCCAACTAAGAGGGCGGCTTTCATTTACCAGTTTCCTCTCCAGTGGGGTGAGGTACCGGTTTTCTTTGCTGTAGAAAGATGCCGCGGGCACAATGGGCTTGTATGGGGAACCAGACTTTGGAGACACTTTACCCAGGAACTCCCTACATGCTGTCATTGGGATGCTGGCTATTTGAAGTGGGGAATTATCAAGCTTCCTGGACATGGAGGATTTCAGAGGCGAAGCCTGGTTTTCTTTATCCTCATCACTGAATCTAGGTGACCATTTTCTTCGAGAAGCAAAGGCCCGATTTGTAGATGTCTTGACTGGAGACAGATCCACAGTGATGTCCATCATCAATTTTTTTGCTGGAGTCCCAAGTGCTAGGAACACACTACAAAAATAAAAAAATAAAATAAACATTTCCCTCTTCTACAGATTGGAGAATCCTTCAGGCATAGCCATGGCTCTGTTTAAGTCACACTAAAGTTTCTCTTAAAATAGTTTCCTCTATTGGTAAATAATCACAAAATCTATCTGGGGTGTTTTGTTTTTTTAAACCACACTCACTGTAGCATTCAAGCACCTTAATAAAGAGCTGTATACTACCTTCCATCTACAGTTTCTTTAAATGTCACTGGGACCTGCAAATATGGACAGAGGGCAGCACAGGGTCTAGGATTTTTCCACTAATAATAGTGACAAATAGATCTCTTTGCCTGCCTGTATTAAAGGCTTGGTCTCCACTTAAAAGTTAGGCTGACAGCCACCTCGGGCAGGAGTGTGAAAAAAATAAATCACATCCCTGAGCGACACAGATATGCTGACCTAACCCCTAGTGCAGATGCAGCTATGTTGACAGAAGAATGCTTCTGTCAATGTAGCTACCGTCATTTGGGAAGGGGGTATTGCTACACCTACGGAAAAACCCCTTCCATCAGCTACCTTTATGGTACAGGGCTATGCCAGCATGACTACAGTGGCATAGCTATGCTGCTATAGCATCCGTAGTGCAGAAAAGTCCTTGGAGCACAAGGTAACGGAACTGCCATTTTACTTCCTTATTAATCATGAGCAGCATCAATTCTGCCACTAGAGCTCCAAGAATAACATTTGACATCTTATATTCCCTTAAGCAGAGCAAAAAATATTGTAGATCTTCACCACTTGGCTCATTTTAGAGCAACACTCAACTTAAATCACACTTCCAAAAATGTTTTTTCTTACACTTGTTATGAGTAACACCTATGATTATTACAACTAAAAGAATAAAGGAAAAGTTATATTTTCTTTTATTTTTGTATCCTTTATGCATTTGGCAGATCACAGTGTACAATTCTCTCTGTTTTTGCAAGTCTTTCACACAGCAATGAGAAAAATATGAATATGTCAGAGCAAGTTTACTATCTGAAATTACTTTTTTTTTTTTCCTAATGTCACTAAAATTCCAGTAGCTAATATCCCTTTAAACATGAAGTCAGTGTGGCTTCATGCAGGCACAAAAGCCTAGCCCTGCAGAACTCAGTGTAGGACTGGGAGCTTAGTGTCAAAATTTAAAACCAAACAAAAAATACACCATTTACAGCTCTCCTAAAGGAATATAAGATGTTTTACATTGGATCAAGTGACTTGGAAACTAACTAATTCACCAATATTTCTCCTTTTAAAGTACCGTATACATTTACATTTCAAAATTAAATAATGGAACCATCTTGTGACCTCATTAGGTTGGGAGTGAGTCTTGCAGTTTGTAAAGGTTATGTAAATGTACAGTACTAGATACAAGTGATAAAACCACCCCAGTGCAAACCAGTGTGTTGTTGCCCCATTAACCCAGACTTACAGAAGACTAAGTCAGTTTAATCTTTTTATCATCATTTTTAAGTCTATATATTCTATTAGACGTAGAATCTTCTACAGCTTAGGGTTTCTTTCTACCTTAAAAAAAAAAAGCTGTCAAGCTGCTCAGTACAATACATGTGTAAAGTATTATGCGTTACTAAAGAATGAAAAAGCCACTTAAGTTATTGCATCTCATAACTGTTCCCTCCATTTTATAGTAAAAGCATTGAGGGAGTTAAAACATTTCTTCTGTTCTCAGTACATGAAGTGAACCATTAAAGAATTTGTTTTCAGTGTAACAAATAGCAAAGACAAGATTATGAACCAGATAAACACACCTATCAGAGCTAGTAGAACTACGATTCCTTTTTCTTGGAGTAACAGCTGCCATCTCAATAAAGTGCCTGAAAGTTAGAAGACATTTCAAGATATAATTTATGAAGTTATATTACACACAAATGTAACTATTATAAATTATATGACATTCACTTTTTAAAATAGCGTTAAGATATCTAATACTAAGTAAAAAAAAAGTTAACAAGCACATGCATACCAACCTAAAAAAGCCACTTTCCATTGGTTTCTAGAGCAAACATTTTCTTATTTTTAAAGAAACATTTAAAGGAAAATGACTGTTCCTAAACCTAATTTCCAAAGATCTTCCATCTCCCAAATATCATGGCCCATTAATCTCAAACTTTTCCCAAAAAAACCTTCTCTTGGCAGGGGACCACACATGAGACACTTCAAACAGAAAGGATTTATGAAGAAACCCTTTTGAGGAGACAAGGAAAAGAAAGGGCCCCAATCAGTACTGAAGCAAAATTAAAATATTAAAGCCCATTTCTCATGTGCCATGTACAAATGCATCAGTGTACCTCAAGATATATTTAATGCATAATGCCAATGTGCCTAAAAAGCCTTTTACATAGTTTATTGATTTTGGTATTATGAGGCTACAAGATAGGAATTTGGGGAGACAGCATAAATAGGGCCAAACCATTTTACAGCAATGTTTAAACGTTGGTTCCAAAATTTGGTTTAAGCCATAACGTAGATGGAGTTACAATGATGCTGGAAAAGTCTCTTTACATTAGCTGACCCTCATGCAACATAAGAACTGAAATCCCAGCTCAGACAGTGGTCCCTGTAGTCAAGCATCCTATCTTCAATGGTGAACAGTACCAGGGCTGGTCTACCGGGGGGGGGGGGGGGGGGGGAAGAATCGATCTAAGATACACAACTTCAGCTACGTGAATAGCATAGCTGAAGTCGAAGTATCTTAGATCGATTTACCTTCGGTCCACACGGCGCGGGATCGACGGCCGCGGCTCCCCCATCGACTCCGCTACCGCCGCTCGCTCCGGTGGAGTTCCAGAGTCGACGGAGAGCACGTTCGGGGATCGATATATCGCATCTTAACGAGGCGCAATATATCAATCCCCGATAAATCGATCGCTACCCGCCGATATGGCGGGTAGTCTGGACGTACCCTCAGATGCTTCAGAGGAAGGTGCAAGAAACCTGGATAAGGTATAATTGTTGACTACTCTGCCAATAATCAGTTTCCTCCTGACCCACAGCAGTAGCAGTTCACTTCTGCCTGGAAGCATGAGGGTTTATAACCTATACAATTAAAAAATTGCTATCCTAACTAATAGGACTCTGGATATTCTCAATATCCATATAAACATCCAATCCTTTTTTTGAATCCTATTAAGATATTGGCTTCAATCATATCTTGTGACCAAAGGTTATGCATTGGGTAAATAAGTATTTCCTTTTATCAGTTTGAAATTTATTGCTTTTCAATTTAATGTATGTCCACTTGCTCTTGCTTTATGGGTAAGGTAAATAAAAGTGTCAAATTTACTTTTTCTACACCATTAATTTTGCATATCTCAGTCATATCCCAGTTTAGAGAGAAGACAAACTAAAAGAACAGGAGTACTTGTGGCACCTTAGAGACTAACAAATTTATTTGAGCATAAGCTTTCGTGGGCTACAGCCTACTTCATCGGATGCATAGAATGGAACATATAGTGAGGAGATATATATACACATACAGAGAGCATGAAAAGGTGGGAGTTGTCCTACCAACTCTAAGAGGCTAATTAAGTAAGAGAAAAAACTTTTGTAGTGATAATCAAGATAGCCCATTACAGACAGTTGGACAAGAGGTGGGAGAATACTTAACATGGTGAAATAAACTAAAAAGCCCTACCTATATGAAAGCTGGCCAAGCATCTAGAGAGTGAAGATCTACCAGATGAGAGTCTTACCCCAGAGAGGGATAGCAGCATTCTGCACTTGCTCTTCCCTGCTCCACTATTTGATCAAGAGTTGTGAGTTACTTTGCAAGCAATCAGTGCTTTACAATGTTACAGAGCCACCAAGACCACTGCTTGCAATTCTATTTTTTTTTAAACTTTCCTTCCTAAACACACACAATGGCCAGAAAATTATGTGCAAAATAGCTAAAGATGACCACAACCTTCCACTTTCTTTGGGCACAAGCAGAACAAAATACCTCTTCTTCCTTCTTTACAATGGTTACCCAGGTCAGGTACATAATGGGGATGGGAAAACATGAGCGGGGAAAAGTGTGAATGCGTGATTCGTTATTATTATTAATCACGGTAGCAGCTAAGGATCAACCAAGAACGGGGGCCCAATGTGCTAGGCACTGTATTAACACAGTGGCAGACAGTCCCTGACCTGAAGAATTTACAATCTAAATAAACCAGACACATGGTGGGGAAAGTGATAGCTTACAACACACCAGCAGAATGAACAATGGCTACATGTACACTGATAGCAGGGGTAGACTACTGGCATTACACATGGTAGCTACACACCACAGTGAAAGGCTCTGGCGGGGGTGGGGGGGGAACAGCAGGACACCACACTGCTGAAAATAGCAGCATAGATGGGGGGGGGCATTGTTTGGACATGTAGGAATCCCAGGTAGGGTATACAACCTGGCGGTTCAGGCATGTAGCGCATGCTCGTCTGCTAAGCCATGCCTCCCCATCTACACTACTATTATAGCCATGCTAGCGGAGCATGCAGTGCCCACATGCTCCAGGCTGCCGTAAGTGTGGACGTAACCACTGTGATGGCAGCGAACAGCACTTCAATGCCGGGATTGGGGTTTTTTTTGGGGGGGGGGGGTTTGGTAAGAAGGGGGGGGCTCGGCAGAAAAAAAAGGGGGGGGGGGGGGCGCAAAGGGCTCAGAGCAGGAGAGAAGAGGATGAGGGAGGCAGGTGTGGAGCTAAGCTGAGGGGAAGCAAACAGCCAATCAGCAAGTCCACGCTCATGCCCGGGGGCGCCCTGTTCTGGCTGCTCCTAGGGGAGTCCGGCGGGCTCCTCCGGCAGCACTTCCCCAAGGCCCCGGGCAAAGGGGGGCCGGGGAGCAGGTGCCAGCTGGCTCCCCATGAGCTCAGCGAGGCAGGGTCGCCGCTGGGCGGGGCTGTGAACCCAGGGCCTAAGCCGAGCTCTGACGCCAGGGGCCCTGAGGTGGGGACGCCCGCCCGGGGCATCGGGGGCCTTGCCCCACGCTGCTGTGGGGGGTGGGTCGTTTTCCGTGCCCTAGGCAGCCGCACGGGTAAGGGCCATGTTAAGCCCCGTCCCTACGTGTCACTCACACACACCCCCCACCCACCGGACGCTATTTATCTGGGACCCGGAGGGCGCACGCAGCCCCCCCGAGGCCGGGAGCCGCTGACCTCAATCCCCGAGACCGCCGCTCTTGATACGAGAGAGGGCCGGGGTCAGCCGCTCCCTGCAGCTCAGGCCGAGAGGTCCGGCCGCGCCCGGGCAAAATCACCTCAGCGCTGCTCCCGCCAACCGCCTCTCCTTCGAATCCGCGCGGGCTCCGCCGCCTGCCGCGCGCGCCCGGGCCCGCCCCTGGCCGGCCGGCCAGCCTGGCTCCCATTGGGCACATCTGTCGTCATTCGCCATCCCTCACGTCCATTGGCCAAGCCTCTTCGCTTGTAGACACGCCCCGACGGCGTGAGCAGCGCCATCCCCACTACCGCCCGCCAGCCAATCAGAGCTCTGGAACGCACGCGGCGCGCTCAGCTTCCATTGTCAACTTTGGCCCCCTCACTCAGTCCCGGAGACTGCAATTCCCACCATGCACCGCAGGAAAAAAAGGCGGGTCTTCTACGATGAAGTCCTGTCGCAATGCTTGCCGGAAGCTGTAGTCCTTTTGCGTCACAGCTCGAGCGAAGCGGAGCATTGCACGCTGGGATGTGTAGTCACAGAGGACTGCAGCACTGTGAGCAGGATAGAGTATTGCATGCTGGGATAGTTGTCTGCAGTAATGCATATTGGGACCGGTGCGGCCATAGCAACCACCACAGTACAGTCCCATGGCCATGGTGTGTTATAACATAGTCCCTCCCACATGTTAATTCTTCTGTTGCAGACAACCTCTTTAATCCACTGCAGATCAGGCCTCAATCTTACTGAACGCTTATTGACTTCCTATTGATTGTGCCTCTGGTGCTAGGGTGACCAGATGTCCCGATTTTATAGGGTCAGTCCTGATATTTGGGGCTTTTTTTTATATGGGCTCCTATTACCCCCCACCCCCTGTCCCGATTTTTCACACTTGCTATCTGGTCACCCTATTTGGAGCTGTAATTCAGACTGTCAACCTAGAGATGAAATTCCAGTCTCCTGAGCCATTGAGCCCCAGGAGCTCCAAAATCTTTCAGCAGTTACAAATTTCCTTCTTAAAAAACTTTGCAGACTGTTGCCTTTAAAACATGTCCTTAACTATTACTAGACTTTTGTTCATTAGATTGCTGTGCTTATTAGTGTTTGAGCATTTAAATGGTCCCATCTTTGCTCAAAGAACAGGAGTACTTGTGGCACCTTAGAGACTAACAAATTTATTAGAGCATAAGCTTTCGTGGGCTACAGCGAGAAGTGGGCTGTAGCCCACGAAAGCTTATGCTCTAATAAATTTGTTAGTCTCTAAGGTGCCACAAGTACTCCTGTTCTTTTTGCGGATACAGACTAACACGGCTGCTACTCTGAAACCATCTTTGCTCAGAAATTAACAAAATGGGAGGTGAATGGTGGTAATTTCTAAAACGAAAAGCAAAATCCATCAATCCTAAACAAAATTGGGAAATAATGCTGCTACATGGGGCAGGAAGTGATTGCTGCATTGTCAAGAGGAAAGAAAGGCAAACGTTGTTTGTAGTGTTGTTGTAGCCCAGGATATGAGAGAGACAAGACAGGTGAGGTAATATCTCTTATTGGACCAACTTCTATTGGTGAGAGCTCGAAAGCTTGTCTCTCTCACCAACAGAAGTTGCTCCAATAAAAGATATTACCTTGTCCCTTAGAGTATGTATTAACTACTTAATGCTAAACAATTTGTTCCATCTTGTATTTATCTGTAACACCATTTCCCAGACCTGAAGAAGAGACGAGCTCTGTGCAGCTAAAAAGCTTGTCTCTTTCACCAAAAGACATTGGTCCAATAAAAGATATTACCTCACATACCTTGTCTCTGAGGCATAGATGGTGTCAGACTGAAATTTGTAAGGGGCTGAAGAGTGAAATGTAATTGTTGTTTTTAAAAAACCTAATTCTAACAGGCCCCATCTACATGAGACAACTTTATTTAGTAGATGTGTAGCCTGGGTGCAACTGTACTATGTTACTGTCTATTAAACTGAGGTGTACACAGGGTCAAGCATTTTCATACAGTCAGCTAGCCCTGCTCTCTGTCATGTACGTAAAATTGTATATTGCTTTATATGCTCGTTTTATTCCACTGTAAAATCTCTGGGGCAGGGCATTCCCCGAGATCTACCGCAAGACAGAGTAAGGCCCAGCAGAAGTAAAAAGGGAATTATAATACACTATAAGGTGGGTGCAAAACTGATTAGAAAACCATTCCCAGAGAGTAGTTATCAGTGCTTCACAGTCCAGCTGGAAGGACATAACGAGTGGGGTCCCGCAGGGATCAGTTCTGGGTCCGGTTCTGTTCAATATCTTCATCAATTATTTAGATATCGGCATAGAGAGTACACTTATAAAGTTTGTGGACGATACCAAGCTGGGAGGGGTTGTAAGTGCTTTGGAGGATAGGATTAAAATTCAAAATTATCTGGACAAACCGGAGAAATGGTCTGAAGTAAATAGGATGAAATTCAATAAGGACAAATTCAAAGTACTCCACTTAGGAAGGAACAATCAGTTGCACACATACAAACTGTGAAATGACTGCCTAGGAAGGAATAGTACAGAAAGGGGTCTAGGGGTCATAGTGGATCACAAGCTAAATATGAGTCAACAGTGTAACGCTGTTGCAAAAAAAGCAAACATCATTCTAGGATGTTGTCATAAGAGGTGGCAGCTCTCCTGTGTACTGTGCTATGGAATCCCTCCTGGCCAGAGACTCCAAATCCTTTTACCTGTAAAGGGTTAAGAAGCTCGGGT